TTCTTGTAAATATAAGATGATCCAGTAGGAAACCTAGTTGTAAAATGTGATAACCAGTAACTTTTCTATGAAATAGCAAGTTAGAAAATGCAATTTTAAAAGACCTACTTTAGGGGCTGGGGATTTAGCTCAGCAGCACAGCACTTGCCTGGTAAGCCCAGGGTCATAAGTTTGATTCCTGGTACCAGAAAAAAAAAAAAAAAAAAACCTACTTTAAATAACTTTTAAACTAAGAAAATATATTTGATTAAAAATAACATGCAGGATATATATTACTGAATCTTGAAAGAATGAAATAGCATTCCTGTTGAGATTGAAAGATTAAATATTATAAACATGTCAAGTTTCCTTAAATTAAATTATAAATTGAATATAACCATAATAAAAAGTCAATAAGGTTTTTTATTACTGTTGAAATCAGATGTGACAAATAAAGATATTCATTATACAATTATTTTAGTTGCAATACCATAGGACAATCTGAATATACATCAGATGGAAACGTTTAAGTTCTGGTATTTCCCAGAGGGTGGCATATGATATCTTGCTTTTTTTATTAAAAAAAAAAAGAGAAATCTGCCATGGGGGATGAGAAATAAAAAATTAGATAATAAAAGTCTTACATTTTTACTATACATTCTTTTTATCTTCAGATTGTTTTGATTATGTATATGTCTTAGCTTTTCAGGAGAAAACCAAATAGTTGTTTTTAAGTAATAAAATTAATAGAAGCATAGCCTTAACAAAGAGTACTTGTTCAGTTTAGCAGTTGCTATTAAAATGTAAATGGGAATTCAGATCTATCCAGCTAGACAACTTCTAGCCAACACCTACAGAAATCTTGACCATGTGCATAAGAAGGTACGGAGGAGAGAGAAAGCGTGACAGGGAGGGGACAGCTAAAGCATTGCCTTCTACTGTGGTACCTACTATCTACAGGGTCATACTTATAACAAATACGGAATAAATGTCTAAGCAGCAGAGGATGTTTAATAAATTTCAATACAGCTAAGTTGTACATGGGTGTTATAATGAAGGGAATAAATCCATACATAACATGAAAAGATGTCCACATTATACTGTCAAGTGAAAATGGGAACTGTAGAGAAACGTATGCAGCGCCCTTCCCTCTAAGCATAGAAAATTTATGGGAGGATAATATAGTAAGTGCCTGAGGAAGGCATTGTTTCACCCATTTTCCCAAAACCAGGCCACTTCACCCATCTTTATCCAAGTTTCCTCCGTAGAGGTTAAGAGGTTTCTCATCTGGACCATGTGTGCCGGTGAGCTGGTCACTAGCACAGCACTGCCTCCAATTTGACCTTAGCAATCAGGGGTGCAAGGCTCTCATCACCACATGAAGTATTAGCACTTGGTTCCCATTCTGCCTCTCCTTATGCCTACAGGCTTCTGAGGAGCTGTCCGTGAGGGAAAAATGATAGGACTGATGTGTTCCTCACCGTAGTCACAAATACCTCCAGGTTCTTCAAGGAGGAACCTCCCTTTCCCTTTTTATACTTTAATAGTCAGTATGTGTGTACTTTTGGGAAAACAATTTATAAAACCCTTTAAAAAGTGTAAAGGCCCATATAAACAGTAAAAGGAAAAAAAGCTATTCTTCAGACAGCTTTAAGAATAAACTTAACCTTAAGCATGAACACAAAAATAACACATGCAAAATGATTTATTTGTACTGATGTTTCTCACCATAACACTCAAGGGGTCTGTCATACCGGTAGGATTAATAACCACATTACCCCACCTAATGCTTGGTTTGAGGGTATTTTGTTTGGTTTTTTTATACTCAGCTTTCATTTTCCAAAATTGGTAATAGATCAATGAATGATGTATTTTCAGGTAAAAAATTAATTAAATCAAACACTGTCTTTGCTATGTAAATTACAATTTATACTGCTAAAGTTTTATTAGAAAAAAATGCTAAAAGCCTTATAAATTTCTGTTGCATTTTTAAAAATCTTAATCTATTTATTCATTTATCTAGAATCACATGATTTTCTCTTCCTTTTCCCATTTAAAAAGTTTCTAAAATAATTTTAGAGAAAAAATACAGTTAATAGAGTTAAAGGCCATATATACATGGCCTTTGACATATATATATATATATATATATATATATATATATATATATATATTCCTTCCTAGAATTGACATAAGGAAAAATTTTGATGAAATACTTTTTCTAAATATCACTACTAATAATGTCTTATTTTTACTGAGTGCTGAAAGACATGAAGTGAAAGTGGACTTTGGAAGACACACTCTGATGTACACTCCTCCTCTGGGAGCATAGATGGTAGTCCAGGTATGTGTGCACTACCGTGAGCATGTAGGCCCTACCCCAACCACCGTGAGTCACTCGGTAGATAAGGCACCATTAGGAGAATTCTTGTCATTCACTGATCTAGCCCTAGAGCATCACATGGGGACTTGGAGCGAGACAAACAGGCCAAGAGCAATAAAAAGGCCAAGGTCAAGGTTTTGTACCACGAATTAATTTTAAACAGTAAAAATTTTTATTTAAGATAATTGTAGAGAAAAATTATAGTTCAACATCACTGTATAATTTTTTCAATTTTATGCTATTTTATTTCAAAATATTTTTACTTCTAAAAAATATATATCTATATTTAGCTAGTTGCTATCATAGATATTATATATTATTTTTCTTTCAACTAACTTTATATCACAAACATGTTCCATATTTGTATGTAATTCTCAAAATAGTTCTTTTTAATGGTTTCCTGAAGGCACAGTCCTTTCAGTTTTATTAATGTCATTCCCAGTATCTATGAGAATGCTCAGTAAATTCAGATGAGAAAACATAGAATAATTCTGAGACTGTCTGTTGGTGCCAGTATACCTCGATTTAAACGCAAAAAGTGTTTTTTGTAGCAAGAATTAATTTTTATTAATCATTTGATGAAAACAGTAAAATTTTTGTTTAACATAATCTCTGCCTTAGTTTTCAGGCCTACAAAAAATGGATGATGACTAGTACTACTTCACAGGATTTTTTTGAGGATCAAGTCAGTTAACTCTTGGGACTGTGGGGTGCCTACCACATGATCAGCCGCCAGCTAACCTGACCGGTTATTATTGATGTATCAAATGAACTTGGTTCCTTTAACTAAGTCATTTCTTGTGTTTGCTGTTATAGATAGCTAGGCAAGGACACCTTGATATAATATTTTGTATCTGCTCAGTTATTTCATTATATTTAATTCCTAGAAATCAGACTGTGGGTCAAGAGTTATCAAAATGATAACTTTTGAGAGAAGTTATCATTTCTTCATTTTCTGCCTTTGAAGAAAATTTGACAGTATGAAAAATAAATACTAGATAGTATAAGAGAGATGATAAAGAATAGAAACCATGAATTTACCTGACCACAGTAATTCAGTAAACCTCCACTTAGTTCATAAAACTATATAGAGATTCCAAAGAGGAGCTCTATTCCTTTGAATTAATATAAGTATTTCTCAGTCTACTATATGCTTGTCCCATGCTGAGTGTCAGTCACCAGTTAGAGGACTACAAAGACACCTTTGCCCTTAAAATTCAAAATCTGTGTAAGAAGGTGATATGTGAAGACGAGACTATATAATCAGGTGTCAAGGGCCAGGGATATAACTTAGTGGCACAGCACCTGCTTGGCAAGCACAAGGTCCTGAGTTCGATTCCTGATAGCAAAAAAAAAAAAAAAATCAGGTGTCAAGTTGCAGTTTTAGCCATACTTGGTGGCACCTGCCTGTAAACCCAGCACTCAACAAACTAAGGCAGGAGGACCACCACAAGTTCAAGGCCAGCCTGAACTACCTGGTGAAGCCCTGTCTCCAAAAAAAAAAAAAAAAAAAAAAAAAAAGCATTTTAGTAAGATCCAGATCCATGGCACAGGCCGTACTAGGCATAATTAGCAAGCTTAGCAAGCAATTAAGAGTAGGTGCTGTCTAGACCTAACCGGCAGACATAAAACATTTTCAAAAGACCACACTTGTTGGCAGTCAGGAAGAAGTCTGTTATCACCCAAGTGATGACTAAACCAAGCTCCACTTTCCTCTTAGAATCTAGCCTTCATAATTCCTTTCAATCTATTCCAAATGAACAGGACAGCTTTGCATTTAAATATCAGCCAAGGAAATGCTTGCTATCCCACTCTACAATGAAAGGACCCCTCCTGCTTGAGCTGTGAGTTTTAGCCAGGGAAGCCGAAGCAGAAGGCTCAGGAATGGAAGTGGCCAGTGGCCAACCTCAGTCAAAGGCTGCGCGTGTTTATCTGCTCTGCCAGTTAAAAAGCAAAGTCATCGCCACTGGTTTTCAGGGTGCATGGCTAATTCCTGAACACTCAAAATCTCACACCACAGGCTCCGTCACTCTTCAATGTCTTTTGTTTCATTGTCAGGAATTAGATTTTTAAAATACCTTACCAAATTTCTATTCGTGCACATTCGATTAAAAAAGAAACGTTTACAGGTTTGGGGGAGCTCACATTCAAGATATATTCAGTAAAATGTAAAATTCTCTTTGCAAATAAGCACATTAACACAAAACGGAGAAAATAACACTAATAACAGTTAAATAATTTAAGGTGGTATACAGTTTGGTAGCTTTCTTACGGGGATTTGAAAAATACTCTGAAAATAAATAAGATATCCTTTTGTAGAAGCAGTAGTTTGTATCTTGTAAACTTCCTTTTTATATCACAGCAATATTTGAAATCAAATCCAAAGGGATTGGAGCTTTAAAAAGAAAGGAATTAGGAGGCCAACTGCCTCACTTCTTTGAGGTGAGCAAGAGCACCGGTTTTCAGGGAGCCAAACCTGAAACAGAAGCAGGTCTCTAACGTAGTTGAGAAAGACTTCCTAGTTTCCGAAAGCCCTTTTTGTAAGGGGACAAACCCCATGTAAAGAGTTCTCTGGCCTTGAAAACGGCCTGCCGAGCATCATTCCTGCGCCTTCCCCAGTAGTTATTAACTTGCCTACCAGTCAGGGATCCTCAGGAACTGACAGGCTCCAGATGCCCCAGAAGGCGTAAGCCTCCTCAACACCAGAGCAGGAACTGCTTTGCCCAAACAGGTTATGACTGTCTTCCTTAAATGGTGAAAAGCGCCCTGCCCCTTTAAGGCCAAGAGACCGGCTGCAGACAGTCCCTGGGAAGTTTGCGGGCAGCCCGGTCCTGTGTCTGCTCCTTGCTGCTGTGCAGGTGAGTCCCCAGATCCTCAATTTGCTCCCTGTGATCACTCTCTAGTAGGCAGAAAATGCTACTGGGAAAGGGCTAGAGGATCTCAGCGTCGGGGGAAACGGTGTTGTTTGGAGAAGTTTGAGTAAAAGGGAAAAACAAGGTTACTGGGGAAATGTGCTGTGATGCAGCCCGTGAGGATGCGTGTAACTCCCCGGGGAAGGGAAGCAGTAAGGTTACCGCGGGCCCTGAGCCACTGCGGGACAGACCAGGGAGGCGAATTCAGTGCGAACAGGGGAGCCGATTTTAGGCAATGCCAGAAGGGGTAAGTTTAGACTCTTGAGCTGTATAACCTGGTTTAAAGCAAATGCAGGAAATAAAGCTCCAAGTGCAGAAGGCTTTGAAGGAGCTGGCGCTACAGGACTGACTGCAGAGGAGAAAGTACAGGAAAGTGCTTACATCCTCTACAGGCAAGAGAGGCTGCAGCCCTAACCCTTTGTACGGCCGGGGCTGGCTGGCGGGTGGAGTTGGGCCACCCGGCAGCACGGGGTTGCGGGTGGGTGGGGTGCGTGTGTGGAGTGCGGCAGAGACTAAATGAATACATAAGAGTGAGACTGTGGAGGTGTAGCTCAGCCGCCCCACAGTACCACGTGCTGAGCCAAGAGATTTTTTTTAAGCTCAGAAATTCTGTGTCATTCACAACCAAAGGACGGGCAGAAGTCTCATTTAAGCTAATTAGGGCTGTCATTTACTAATTCAGCTTTCTGATTTTTTTTTTTTTTTTTTTTGCTTAGGGCCTGGAGCCTTTTAAGATATTAATTTGAAATTAACTAATAGAAAACTTAACAGCTAAACATTTTGCTAGCAAAAGCGTATGTCAGTGAAAGGCTGAGAAGTATATACTTGAGGTCAGCATCTTACTGATACACAAAATGTGGGTGTGGTGTGGGGGGGGTAAATACTTGATGGTCAATTACTTCACATCCAAAGCCCATTAACTGTGCCTATACATCAGCTACAGCCAAAAAAAGAAGCCCACCCAGGCATTTAAAAAGAGAGATGCTACATTACAGGGTTTGGGGTCATCTTCCCTTTTGGTTGAGTCTGGGGCCATTCATCATTCAGAGGGCAGTGGTTTCTGTATAGTCGTTGGTTGGGGGATTGAACACAGAAACTGGATTAAAATTCCTTACATACTCCATGCCTTTTAGAAATATTCATTCATCTGAGTAGTCACTGAAGAATTCCTTTTATGATTAACTAACAAGTGCTCTCTCCTCTTGTTAGTGTTTTACAAAGACTGAATGTTCTTAAGGAAAGTTTTACCAACAGGGATTTGTTCGTGTAAGGGTTTTTCTCTTCTCACTTCTGATGGGTGGGCAAAGTAGTGATTGTTGCTGACTGAATGGAAAGACCTAGTCCTGATTCTGAAGTCATAAAGGACTCCACTTGAGTTTGATCCATTGAGAAACACTAGTGTCCCAAGCAAAAGTTAACTTTTTTGTTCACAGTATAAATTAGAGCAGAGTGCATGGGTAGAGTTTTACTTTATTTTGGATCAAGCTAAACACAGAAAGCAATGTCAGCTATGTAGCTTTCCATATGCATGCAACTGAGAAAAGCAAAATCTATCCCCAAGGCTGGAAAACCTCTAAAAGTAATATACCGCAAGCTTTTATAAGTGAAACTGAGGCATTTAGCAGGAAATAAATGCAGGGACTCCAGTCACATGACAACTGTACAACTTCGCACGGACCGCTTACTTCGCCTCTGTTCTCTTTCCTCACCATGAAAATTGTGGATTGTTGGGAGAAACTTTCCAAAGAAGTGGTAAGACCAACCAGACCCAGAATCGAGCAGATGTAGGTAAAATTTCTAGTCTCTTCACTTACTCTATAACTTTAGACAGATTGCCAGCCTGAACCTCAGCATTGTTAGGTGTAAAGAAGGAGTTGACATGGTTTTAGGGTTACAAGGATCCAGACATCCCATAAATGTTTCTATTTTTAAATTTTATTTATTTATTTTTATTTTTTTATACAAGGTCTCACTGTAGTCCAGGCTGGCCTCAAATCCCTGACCCTTCCCGAGGCTCCCAAGTGCTGGGATTACAGGCATGTGCTACTACTCCTGGCTTTTATTTATTTATTTATTTATTTATTTATTTATTTATTTCTGTTTTCTGGTACTCAGGGAGCTATATTAGTCCTTAAAAGAAGAAACGAGTTTTTTTACCAGTTCTGTAGCACAACTCTAGAGCCAAAGTTAACTTACCTTCTTGCTACCGCCTTCCAAAAAAAATGCCCAACTCCTTAGAAAACCCATCCCTAGTCATTATAAGGCTCACTGCCAGTTCTTAAAGCAAATCGACGTACACTGTTTTGTGTTCAGAAACATGAAGAATAGTTGGCTGTTTTCCTTTGGTATAAAAATATTCTTTGCACTTTAAGATCAATAGTAAAACATCTTAACATCTATATAAAGGTGGTCTCCTCAAAACTAAGGTTAAAAATCGTTTTAAAGGAACATTTTTGTTATTCTAAGGCACTTCTTGCAAGCATTTCAGTAATAGCCAATTGCTACTTTTCTACAAAATCTCCTAACACGTTCACACAGATGCCTTTAAGAACATGGTTATTGTTACTTTTGTCATTTTCATTGTTCAGGCCACTTTAAGAGCAGGATTGCCTTACTTGCAACATGGTTGTGCATGACAGACTTTTAAACAGAAAACATTCTCTCCACTGGCTTAGAAAGGTGGTGATAAATTTCAGCCTCAGAAACATTCCATTAGAGGTCCACATCGCAGCACTACATCGGCTGGGAAAGCACAGCTGCCATTTCTAACTAAAGTAAAGGCAGGTCACCCCAGAGGTGATCTATAGTGGTTAACACTGTCTGTCAGGAGGCTGGCATGTGGAGTCCATACTTGTTGACTTCAAGTGGTTGCAAGACTCTGGACTAGCTCCTTTATGTGTCTGAGCCTCATTGCTACGATCTGTAGAATGGGAATGATAAAAATATGTGTACATGGTTGAGGAAAGGCATGGAATATGGCAGAATAGGTGCTCTCAGTAATTATGTTGGATCTGATTGCCTAATAAAACCCTTTTACCCTAATAACAAGATACTGGCCCTAGACATATATGTACACATGTCTGTAAGCATGAGTATATGTCTAAGCATGGGTAGATTCAATTTTCAATAAGAATGTTAAGGAGAACCAAAAAGAGGTAGGTGCTGGAACAATCATGCAGTATATCTGCTGCAAGAGTTAACTTTGGGAACAGCCTATAAAGGCACATGTTGCTTAAAAGCTGAAGGACTAATCAGGGCTTTGGACTGACTATGTTCTTTACAGTTTCTTTGAGCTTTTAGCCCCATGGGAATCACTTCTGTCTCTGGTAAACTGGTAACAAACGTAGGAATGAGAAGAAGCAAATGCCTATGTGGGACAAATGGAGTAGAGACCCCAGTATTGTTGAACTGAATCTCTTTACATTTCTTTCATTCCCCCTCTTCCCGCCTCCTACTTCCTCTCTTTGAGCCCTGGAGATGCAATTCATTCATGAAAACACCTTTCTGGGGAAGCTTGAAGAGTTGCCTAGGCCAGCTTCTTGCCTTCAGTCAAAGCTTCTCCTGAAACAACTGAGAACGCTGTCCCTCCTTAGGAGAAAGACGGAAGTTCAGTCTGTTGTCCACTGCAGCTGTGTCTGACATGTTCTCCTACACTGAATTGCAGTACAAGCCCGTGCTCTCCCAGTGTGCTCCAGGCTGTCCTTCCTGTGTGTGGCAAGCTGATATTCAGCCTTTAGCAAAGAGCCCAGCCACAACAGTGCAGAGTGCTGGGGGGCCACAGCCCCTGCGAGCACAGTGCCTCTGGTTTCCTCCAAAAGGCCATCAAGTGAGCAGTCATTCTTCTCCCCCAACCTCATCACTGCTACTCCCCCTCCAGATTCCTTCTGGCTTTGCAGTAGTTCCCAAACTGGAGAGCACACAGAACATTTCCTCAAATACATTTTGCTGGGCTCCATCCCCTAGTTTCTGACCTGTAGGTCTGGCCTGAGGCCTGAATATTTGCAGTTTCTTACCTGTCTGCACGCATTGGGAGCCGGTCCTCTGGTCCATCGCTAAATCTCTGCTCCAGCACTCCCAGGTCCTGCATGTCTTCTGCCTTCTGCAGTACTTGCTCCTCTGTTCTTAGGGGTGACACATGGCCTTCCACTTGCCACAGTTTCATGCTGGCTTCTAATCAAACAAGCACTGAGCTAAATACCTTACATACACTATTGGTAAACACATATTATTTGTATTTCTTCCAACAACTCTACCTTTGGTATCATGAAACAAACAGAAAGGTTAAGGAACTCAGTGATAAACAGTGATCAAAAGAAGTTATGGTACACAAACTCAGATTTATCTGGAATGTTTTTGCTTTTCCTGCTATTCTGGGGTTAGAAAAACATTCTTAACTCTTCCATCGACTCCAAGTCGTTTGTGGCAGCTGCCCGGAGCATGGGGTTGAGGAGCCTCATGGAGAGCGAGTGCCCAGTGGGAGAAGTTCTAGAACTGGTGAGGGCGCTGGAGGGGAAAAGGCCACATGTGTGTCCTGTATCTGACACCCTGATACAGCGCCTTGCCTTGTTCATGGATCAGTTCTGTTAGGACCTAGATTCAGGTGAGAAACATGTATTCAAATTAGTTTCATGGGGAGGACTGAAACATTTCCTTTCTGTGAAGGATAAACCTAAGTTTTTGAGCCTAGACTTGAGAAGCTATATAAAACTGGAAAGTAAAATGAGATGTAGCTAATATATAGGTAAAAGTAACCAACATAGGCATTTTGCCCTTAAGTGATAGAGACAAGAGAGCCA